TTTCATTCAAGGAAATATTTTTTGCTTTACCCTTATGATAGTATTGATATTAACTTTATTAGGGTTCAATACAGTCCAATTCTTCGATAACTACACTCAAAATATTGTCACTTCATCGTTTAGTGATTGTACATATCTTAGATAAAACTATTTGTATGACTGTTTATGGTGTATACAATGATGCAGAAGTTACAATAAACATTACAAGTACTACAAGATCTCGTTATTCAAGGTTTGTTTATTATAATTATCGACATGTACGTTGTAGTCGTAGTCGAGAGCCCAGTAGGATACCAAAACGATTTCTAAGACGCTTACATAACAAAAGTAGAAAGCTAAGATGGGTTGTTTATCATCGAATCTGTCAAAAGAGGTTTATCTTAATTTTGTCTTACATGTAAAATGACATAATAAGATTGTTGTTATTGTCTTGATATTTGTTCATGTTCTTTTAATAATACGAAGTTGGCGTAGACACAGTTATTTTTTTAATTTCTCTCAAATGACTTTTAAGTTATTAAAATTGTGATATTTATATCACTGCATATCATGAATTGTCTATCAAAGCTACCCATCTTATCAAAAGCGAATTATATAGTAAATATATGGCAAACACGCAAGTGTAAACGAGCCTTACCAAATTCACTACTATTTTATCAACAAGAACCCCGAGTTTACGCAGTTATGCGTCTAGTTTTGTATCGGTTTGAATACGAAAAAGTCGTGTATTTTTCCTTATTCTTTTTTGTTAAACTTTACTTTCAACTATAAATATTAGCAAATTATTGTTTTTGCCTTTGGTATCTATTTTTTACATCATGTAGTTTTTGTTTATTTTTGTTTATTTTTGTATATCGTCGAGTAGTCAACGACTATAAAAACAACAACAACAAACAAGTTGACACACACAAACATGCAAAAAGAAACAAACAAACAAAAAACGATTTAAGATGGACGAAGTGTCTAAACGTTCTGGGACTAAACGTCAGGCAGTCAAAAAATCTCAAAATGCCGTGCTTGTGTTTGAAACTTGTCGAACAGTATTATTTCGTAAAAAAATCTCAAAAAAAATCAAAATGCCGTGCTTGTGACTATAGAAACTTGTCGAACAGTATTGTTTTGGTCTTTATTGCATTTCCCTTGTTGTATTAATTGAAATTATGGTTGTTTTGACGATTTTTAAAGAAAAAATTCGACTGCCTGACGTTTAGTCCTGTCAGGCTGCCTGACGTTTAGACACTCCGTAAGATGAAACTCAAGTAATCAATTCAAGATAAACAATTTGGTCCCTGGTATTTACGTTTAAGCGTTGCGTGCAATTTGTCATTCTCGTCAAAAACAAAACCAAAAACCAAAAAACAACAACCATACTTTGGAAATGCCTCAAAAAGGATGGAGTAATCTCTATATTCTATGAGTGTTTTATGCAAAATAAAAAAAAAGTATGTGATTTTGAAATTATATTTTACAAATAAACATTTATATCTTTTTTCATAAATTTTTATAACTGTTTTTATAAATTTTGTAAAGCGCATCAGAACTTCATTGATATTTTGCGCTATATAAATACTATTTATTATTATATTATTATTAGCGGAGCTCCCGCGCGGGCCGAAGCCGGGCATAGCCGGGCACGAACGCACGCCAAATGACCCAGTTCGATCGTGTACGCCCGCCATATTGGACGGGAGTTATTTTTTGAGGACTGGTAACGAATTTACGATTTCAAACCGACTTTTCTTTTGGGTCCTCGGGTGGTCATCGGTTTGCCGACATGAGCAATCGGGACGCGGGAAAAGACAGAGTTTTTCGCGGGCTTTGTTTTGGTACCAAATTTGTTTGGCTGCCGTTTAGCTAACATTTTTTTTTGAAGCTTCAAAGTTTAGCAAAATGTAGTCTTGTGTGATTCGAGAAATATGGTCTTGAGTTGACCCTTGTTTTAACTTTCTGTCGTTTATGTTTTGAATGACAAAGAATGAAGATCTAAAATCTCAAATCATTGTATTGAGTCGCCTTCTTTTTAGTTTTTCAAGTATGAGGCYTTTTCGCGCGATTTTTCACCTTTAAAATATAGCTTTGATAACTGTCAATCAGTGTCTGTTATCAAGATGAAACGATTTAGTGTTGGGACGTTTATGCGTGAGAAGAAGGCCAAGAGGGCGAAGTTAATTAGTACCAACGAAAAAATACAAGAGCTTGACGAGGAGATAGCAAATGCACAGGAAAGTCTGGAGAAGAAAAGACAAGATCTTGAGGAGAGGAARAGAGAAGTTAGAGCTAAAGAAGAACAGCTAAGGCGGTTGGATTTAAAGGTAAGCGAAGGTTTTGTTTACATTGTCGGAGCGCGGGTCTACAGCACTACAGRTCGAGTCAGATTTTGACACACGGGATTGTTTTATTAAGCTTATATAAGCTTAGTGTGATTTGATTGTGCCTAAGAAATATATGTTTATCTCTAGAAGTTATGATGTTTATGATTTGAAGTAAAATTACGTTCATAATTTAAGTTAATTTCGTTTGGATAACCGGCGCCTCGATCGTGCGACATCCGAAATGACACTGTCCTTACAATCGTTTGTGAAGAGCTTAAACTCTAGATCCGTACCTTTCTTTCGATTATATTTAAATTTTAAAAGGGAGTAAGCTAGAATTATGACAGTTTTTAGAATGAAAACTCCCCATGAAGTGATCTAAGTTACATATTCTCTACCGATCTGACCAATTGAAATTGACATCTAAATTACTGCAATTTTCGAAAAAGTGCGAACTCCAARGCCCAACCGCCACACTCGTTTCGGAGAATTTGGCTTCCGTCAATCAAATCTACGACGACACACGAACATCATCGAGACTTGGACGAACGACTGCCGAAGTTCAGTTAAAATTATGGGAGGCCGAAAATATGGAAGCTCTCTGCGATGGAGAATTGTTTTTTTGTATTACCTCAATAATATGCAGCCGAAAGAGATTGCTGAACTATTATGCTTAGGAAGAACGTATGTTCATACGATATTGAAGTGTTACCGAGAGACAAAGGGCGTAGATGAAGATCGGGCTCTTAGAGTGCGGGGAAGACATCGTGTTTTGAGTGGTAATTTACAGACATTTTATCACTATTTATATACGTTTTTGTTGGTTTTATAACTTTTATATCAACTACAGCCTAAATACAAACCTTTTCAGCAAGAGACCTGATATTTATTCGCCGAATTATCAGCCAATATCCAGAGTTATATTTGGATGAAGTGAGAGATTGGCTACAATTTCAAACAGGGAGATTATTTGCTCTATCCACTATTAGTCGAACATTGCGAAAAATGGGACTGTCCATCGTAAAGGTAAGCTAACTTTTGTAGCGAGCGGAAATCATTCGCATGGCAACCTCAAAATGTCAATCCCTTTGCTGACGGACCGCTATAATATCGCCCTGAATTGCGTTAAAATTGTTCGGTTCTGGGTCGTTCTGGGCATGCAGTTCAAAATGAAAAATATATCTCTTAGCTTCAGATCATTGCCAAACAGCGGGATGAGATGAGGAGAGCACAGTACCGTCGTTTTATTTCACAATTCCAAAGTCGACACTTACTTTTCATAGACGAATCTGCGAAGGATGAACGAACATATCAGGTAGGTTTTCACTCTACATAGATCCTTTCTCCACTTTTTACTAGTAAGCGGTTTTTAAAACACAACAGTCATGTTTTTAAAATAAGCACATTATATTGTGTGAATCTATTCATGCACATTAACTATGATTCATGTAATTTATTGTCAATTTTTTATATATTCCGCAGAGAAAATATGGACTGGGTCTCACTGGGAAAAGAGTGTCAAGAAAGGGAAATTTTACACGTGGTACTAGATATAGCATTTTGGCAGCTATAGCAGTTGATGGAGTCAGAGCTTCACATTCTATTGTAGGATCATACAACCGAGAACAGTTCGAATTTGCAATGGAACAATTTGTAATACCTCATGTTGGCTCTTATGCTCAAGATGAAAACTGTTCAATAGTTGTATTTGACAATTGCAATATTCATCGATCTGACAGGGTATTTGAGCTGATCAGGCAAAGAGGAGGGATGTCTGTGTTTCTACCGTATGTATTCTTTTAAAAATCTTGCACAGCAACTTAAAGGGGACCTACATGTATTGTAATTGTGGAATTGTTCTAAAATTTACTATTTACCATAAAGGGGAAGGAGGGGGAGATTTTACAATTGGACTCATCCCATGTTGGAGATTTTTATCATCACACCTCATTGTCTACATAACCCAAGTTATTGTCTACAAGTATACCCACCTTTCACTTTAACTTATAAAAACACTTAAATTTCATCACTAACTTTCTCTACTAATAAATTTATATCCACGACAGCAAAGTCTACCTGCTGGTAGTGATTTCATTAATATACTTGTAAATTTGTTCTTTGTTTATTAGGCCTTACTCACCAGATATGAACCCCATTGAGGAATGCTTTGGAGTTGCTAAAGCATGGTTGAAAAGACATCAAGATTTATGTCAAACACTTCCAAAAAGATGTTTTGAAAGAGCACTTGAAGAGGTGAAAATTAAAATTTCCAGTGACAGCTGTATTTTTGATCAAGGATAAAACCATTTTGCTCCACAACTAATGCAGACAGTTTTTTTACAGGTCTCACAGGATAGCTGTACAAATTTCTTCACATCTTGTGGATACACTTGAGCGCTTATATTAAGGAAAAGCAAGGCAATATAGGTTACTATTACTAAGAGAATGTTATTTCCTTAATTGCAAGGGCTGGAAGAGCAGACTAATGTAATGTTCAATATTCAATACCTTCATCCTCTTTCTTGATTAATAGATTGACATAAAACAATTATTGAATAAAGTTTACAGGGAAAGGTTTGACAAACCCCTTAAGTATCTGTATGGTACATGCCTTATCAGCTCGCTGTGGGTATAAAGGCTATAAAAAAAATTATAAAACTCATTAATATTCATAAGGCAAAACACAATAGAAATCATAGCCCATGAAGAGAGTTGTATGTTACATACAGATTTCTTGTTCATTTGCATAAACTTTWACTCTGATTTTCTCAGTCAGATTGAATTTTTTTTCAAAAGTTTCTTTAAAACCTGAGCTAATTTACCTTAACGAGCTTTCAGCTCGCTGTTTTAAATCCTCATACAGATCGCCCACTCATATTGTATATATTACTAAAAAGACAAAACAAAGCAATGCAAAAAAACTTATTCTTGACACACAAAAAAATGATTTTTTACATATGTTAATGAAGAAGTCAAACTTATATTGATGTAATATAAACTATACACACCAAAACACAAAAATACTGATCCCTGATATATATGTTATAGCCTTTGACATATATATGTTGTGTATGTTATAGTCTTTGTTTTAATGTCCCACTGTGTTTTGGTGTATATGTAATATTAAATATAATAAACTAGATTTAGTGCAATATAGATGATGAGACTTGTTGTAGTTTTAATCAGTGTTCTTTAGTATTGTTTTTGACAATACCACATATTTGCTTAACATCAAATGCTACAAAATAACTTGCAAAATATTGCATCAAATAGCTGGCCATGAGCAAATATGAAAAAACTATTGACATATTCAGTAACATAACCATCATTAAGTTTTTATACAAACAAACATTTATAAATGTCAACACAAAGTAACATAGAATGAATATAACCAAGGGTTTTAAATGTAACCGACAGCAATCGACGCAGGCAACGCGACCGCCGCGGGTCGGGACCGCGCGAGCAGTGAATTCGACTAAGGATGCAAGGAGTGGTCTTATAACAATGTTTATTACACAAAATCCTAAAAAAACACATTAACAATAGAACTAATTACAAATATACAGTAATGGCAATGGTTGCCCAGAGACCATTATCAGAAAAAGTAAGTGTAAAAGCTAATTGAAAGCTAAATCTGATTCATAGCGAGAACTACTAAATGCACTAAAGCAATATGCTAAACAACTGTATCGTAAAACCGTACTGTCAAAACGGGAATGAGTTACATTCTGTAAAACATAAGAATAATTATAGCTGAGTTATAACAAACTAACCAAAATCTCTTGAATACAACCACAGAAAAGTAGTAAAGCTAACATACCTTACGAGCACAATACAGCATAACCAGAGGGGCATCCTCTGAGAGCTATGCCCTCACTGGGGAGCTACACCCAACTAACTCAAAGGGAAGACTAATTTTAACCCTATATTTATACTAACTGCAAAACATGCACAGGAAATGTAAACATGGCAAGCCCTACAGGAAATATGTCATGCATTCCTATAAATCCTACAATTAGACCCTGCCTTAAATCTAATTAGTAGCTAAGAAATCCTAAATACTATATGAAACAAAATGATTAAGCAAATAGAGTAAATTGCTAGTAATCCTAATAATTTAAAATAGTATTACATGCCACAAACTAGTTCTAGGTTGAGGCCTAAGAATACGTGTCCTTGTGACAACTTGACAATGTTAAACTAAATCCAATTATCAAACAAGATTATTATCTGCTTGTTGATGTGACAGGAAATTACATCACATGAGTATTGCATGACTCAGGTTCTAATCCCAAGATATCGTGACAGTAACAAAATAAGCCCTTTTGACTAAATCATATCTTAAATTTGCAGTAAAACAGTTTTAACTACAAAACAAATGCTTAATTATGTAATCCAAAAATTACTGACATTGGTCACGAAAGTGACCCTGTCACATAAACATTTAGGTCTATTAGACCAGTGCAGCTTTAATAGCACTTATTAGGGTATCTCTTTCTTCTTCATCAAGTGTCATGCTTTCTAGCATCATTTTCCCAAAATGGGGGTGAACCAAAGCAGATAATAGTTGACCATCCATTTGGTTTTCCTGGAATTGGGGGATGTATTTACCTAATCCTAAAGACAACAAGAAATTACAGCACTCTTCTTGATTAAAGTTCCTCAGATCCATCTTTTGTGGCTTTGCTGTTGCTGGTCTTGATGGCATAGAAGTATTCCCAGAATCATTACATGTAAAGCTACTGTTTGGAGGATTCATGCCTGTAACCTAAAAACAACTAGATGATCTCAGATCGATAACGTGGGATTCTTGCGGTAATATGAATTTATAATGGTATAACTGATAAGATTATTCGAGTTCACATACTTAGATGATTTAAAATCGTCATTACACGATGTAAATATATAAAATGCACTTTTATGGACACAAAATCATTTCATTCTGTCTAATAAATTGCATGAATACAGACCATATTGTCAGTGGATACTTATAGTCAGAGGAATTTTTCTCTAATTATTTTTTAATTGGACAGTATGGAGTCCTATTATCTATTAGTTATACAGCCTTTTGCACAAATTATGAGACATTTTTATATATATAAATATACCTAACCAAATATCAAAAACACCCCAGAAATTATGGTATATCTCTATTATATTTTTTCATGATTGCCTAGCATCAGGTTGTTACAGACAAAATATCAGCGACGGTATCCCATAATTTCTTGGGTGTTTTTGATATTTGGTTAGGTATATTTATATATATATAAATGTCTCATAATTTGTGCAAAAGGCTGTATATCCACATATTATCATCATATTAACATATTAAGAAAATAATTGGACAGGTACCTCTTTAGGAATAATATGTGGATATATTAATTTAAACTCTAACACTTTTCATACTACTAGTTATCTGTGATACCTTGCTCTGCATCATAGCTAGCATAGTTGTCATGAAAGTATTATGGAGCATTTCAGATCTTTGTTGATTCATCATCATCATCTGTAATAGTCCACCTTGCAAGCCATCAGATGCTGCACTACTTGCACTACTGGCTATGGAGGAACATGGTGAAGTGCACGAGCTTCTCCTGCTTTTAGGGGGTACGATAACCTCTTCTAAGTGGTCAGTCCAGTTGGGTTCTTCCCCAATCCCAGACAGACGCCCTCCAACAATCAAGTCTGTCCACAACTTTAAGTGTTTTATGCTATACCTGTGCTTTATGCCTTTACTTTCAAGATCCCTTATAAGTGTTAGGTGTATAGTGTTCCAGGTATCATTCTCTGGGTTTGTTGTTCCTTGGCTCATGTCCAGCTTGCGCTTTCTACTTTGTGACCCAACTGAAACAAAATCATTATGTTTGTGAATTTTGATGTTTACCAATAATTAATATTAGATATATTATAATTATTATATTATAATACATAATATTGGATATAATCTCAGTACTCTAGAATACAAGTATACTTTTGCACTACAAAAGAAAGCCTGGATAAGTATTATATATATTATAACCTTAGAAATTTCAAAACCATCAGGCAAATTGCAAAACAAAATACAAAATGAATAAATAAAAGGTTTATATAATTTTATAGATCAAGCCCATTTCATGAATAGTGTTAGAGTAAATCTCTAAGGCATTATATTAAGGCAATAAGTGATTTGTAATTTCCATCTACTGTCATCAACTATCATTTCTGATTAGTGATGATCACAGTTTGAGAAGACTTTCAATATATAGCTTACCACTTGATGATGGTCCAGCATCTATTGTAACACATGCAATCCTCACATTGGTTTCATTGTACTCTTGCGCTCCAGCATGAAAGTCCTCTTCAGTTTTCATTGAGACAAGCTGCTTGGATCCTTTTCTCATCCACCAAATTCCCTTGGTGGGTGCATATATAGTGTCATCCCTACTATGCTCTAGAATTAGGTTAGTCAATTCCTTTAGGGTTGTTGTTGTGGACACATTGTGAATAATCTCTGAACTTGATGATACCTTCCCATCAATACCAACTGCATAAAGAAATACATCCATTTTCTTAGATAGACGTGGTGATCTTCTCAGCGCATTTTGTGACAACCTAGATTTTTGAGGGGTATCTAATAGATAAAAAGTAATGACCTTTATCAGCTACATAGTAATTCTGTAATAGAAAATATAGTTTGCAAATAATATAAAAATCAGCATCATCTACAGCTCTCTAAATGTCCCTCACTCTGCAGTAGTTGCAGATTATGAACACAGTTTATGAGGCATAACTGAGCTTGATATCATCACCTTTCAATTTGATCTCTTGAACGTCAGCTGCAAGATACATCAACACTTTGCCTCTTCTCTTCCCACAAGGATAATTTAAAGGATATTCTTTCAGTAACGCTGGTATATCACCGTCTCCGTCCATTTTCACCACTCCTTTTCCTTTTGCTCGTTTATAGTATAGTTGAGTTATCTGAAA